TATTAGTAATATTATTGATATTAACAAAAAAAGAAAAAGAAAAAGAAAAATTCTTAGAACCAGAAACCATGCTATATAGAATAAGCTTTATTCTAAATTAATCATAATTTATACAACGTATGAAAATTTAATAATTCTATTAGACAATTGGGATGAACTATTAACTTATGTAGTTTATTTTTAAAGGTAATAGAAATGTTATAGAATATGTTAATATTATAGAACATATTAGAGATTTCATCTTTATTAGATCCAGAAAATTATAATAATCGAAATAAGCTATAATACAAGACAAACAGACTATTAGTTAGCTAGATAATCAAGCAATAGATTTACTATAATACTTTTTGTATCTTTTATACTTTTTGTACCTTTCATATCTTTTGTATCTTTCATATCTTTTATACCTTTTATACCTTTTGTAACTTTTATAACTTTTGTACTTTTTATACTTTTTATATATTTAGTACTTTTTATACCTTTTATATATATTATAAAAGCTATATAAATCCTAGCTTTTGCCCTCTCTTAAACACGAGGATTCATTCTCTGCAATGTTCTAAAATATTAGAATTCTATAGAAATAGATATCTATAGATAGCTTTGTGTTTAGGCATTGTATTATAAATAAATAAACATATCTTTGCTCTAAAGTAAACCATGTCTTTATAATTCTAATGAATATATTAAACTGCCCTAGTAAGAAAACATTCCACTTCTACACTACTTTATATCTCGCCTTGTTGTTTTAGAGATTCCTGTTGCTATGTGCTATATTGCAGGTAATAAATTAAGAAGACTATTCTACTTGTAACAACATGAAGATTGTGGATATAAATTTTCAATTGACAATATAGTATTAACAACTTCCAAGATAGTATTGGTAATCTTGTTTGAAAGAAGGACCAGATAGTAACTAGAATTAGAAATAGCAAGAAAAATAGTAAATACAAAGAGATCTGCAGTAAAAAATAGCTTTATCAGATTTGAAATATCTTTGACAGTATAGAACTTACTAGTCAATAAAAAGTTAAAGCATGAAGACATATATGTTGATAGATTCAACAAGCTCTAGTTGTATCTATATAGAAGTTTTTGAATTTTAAAAAGACCTGAGACTACCAATATAAGTATAGCTAGTATAAGTGTATGTAGTAATAATTAGATACAACTGCCAAGAATTATTATAAAAAAAATAATGACACATTTGTTACTTCTAAGTTTTATAATACCATCCAACTATACTAACTACTAGAAGTATTTAAAAAATATGTCTAGGTATCTTATTATCATATTGGGAAGTACAATTATTAGCACAATTACTAAATTTGATATATCAAAGATCTGGGTTCTAAAGTTACAAGAAACTAGCTAGTTATAACAGCATACAGGCTTAAGATACTTACTCAATTGGGTAGAGACAGCTGTATAGCTTGAAATATAAACTTTTAAAAGTATGCTAATAGAAATTAAAAGAGTAACTCTTTGTCAGATATACCAAACCAGAAGCAATAAGTGTCTATCTAGAGAAACATATAAACAAGGCCTTACTTTAATAACAAAAAAGATAAAAAAACTATTTTTTTTAGATTTTTGGATTGGGCTATCTAGAGAGTATTATCTATGTATATAAGAATAGATATTAAGCATTGAAACTGCTTAATAAAGAGTAAAGTTAGGCTAAATTGCCAAAATATATGCACAGTATAGCCTGGTAAATATGTTGCTATTTTAGTAATAAGCAGGTTATAGTAGATTCTTCAAAATAGTTTCTCTCTGATTAATTCTATTCTAGACCACATAGTGATTAGTGAGGCTGAGGCCTTGTTACAGCTAGCAATGTAAACCAAACCCAAATAAGACAATTATGACTTTCTATCTAATTTGGGTTTGGGGCCAACTATTGTAGTAATTCCAAACCCAATACAAAACCCAAACTGGTGCCTATTTATTTTTGCATATCCCAAACTTCAAGGACCAATCATCTCTATGAAATAAACATGGTGCAGGACAAAACAAATGTGACGCATCACTAGACAATAACAATTTATTTGCCTTATGATTCGTGCTCTAGCCAGCGATATATAAATCTGAATTGTCGAATTTAGTAAAAACTTTTGGGAATCTACTAAATTCCAAACTATCGAATTTGGTTTACATCGCTAGTTAGAGCGGTTAGTAAGGAGGTTCCATTTAAAACAGTCTATTTTAGGGCCTATGGATCTGGGCCATCAGTTGAGATTTTATTGATCGTTCACAACTCAAAATTTTGAGAATTTTGAGAATGGTATTAACGTTAAAGCTAAGGTTCAAGGCACGAGTAAAAAATTTGGCATGCCTCCAAGGGCATGCTCTGAGTTGAGGCATGCTCCTCATGCTCTTTTTTTATATAACCAAAAAATTTCTTTCTCGTCTTTGGTATCTACACTTCCGATACTTTCTATTACTTCCGACCATACTGGCCACCAAAATCAGTTATGTACGAAGTTAAAATTCAATGGTTCTTGACAATAATGATATTGTAGAAGACGACGAATCAAAATTTCAAACCAATTCAAAAGATGGCAAACGATAAAACAAATCTGAATCAGACAAAAACTTTACAATAACCTGGCATAAACGAAAATACTTTTATCTGTAATAAACTCGCAACTCATAAATTCAAGTTACCGGTATAGCATGTAAAGTTAGATAATAAAAGTCACTGAATGAATATGAATTTTTTTTTTTTACGCAATGAAAATTTTTTTGAACTTATTTAATATTCACCGGTGGTGAACTTCACCATCCTAAAGTTTTAGGGTTAGGGTGCAGTTTTGGGATAAAAGAGGAGCTTTATATAACATAATGTAGATTAGATTTAAGGTTCCGATTTCAGTTTTCGTGAGGTTTTCAGGGTATTGACCATTTTTACTTAGACTCCCTGACTTTAATTACTTAGTACGTTTTTGAGATACAGCACCACCGGTAAATTTCACCTCTGGTGAGCATTAAAATCGTCCAAATTTTTTATACAGAATTAAAATTTAATTAAATTTTACAAATACGATTTATAATGTGCCAATGTCATTATCGAGATCTCAGATTTTTAAATAGCAATTACGTAACTGATTTTGGGGTCATGTTAGGTGAGTTCTGACCAACCAGATACGATATATATACACATGACTAAGGTGCCTGTGCCCCGGCCTCGAACCCTAGTTAAAGCAAATTAGGATTAAGCAACTAGATACAGTTAAGCGATTAATTATTATTAAAATCTTTTAAACGATTTCAATTCCTAATTACAAAAAAATTAAAGTAAAAAATTCAAATAATTATTTAAAAAATTAACAAATATTCTAAATTAAGTACGGACATTTGGACGTACCTAACGACTAGTATATAATAAGAATAATTTATAAAAGTTTATCCTGATATGTAGAGTGCCGATTTGCATCTAATTTAAAAATTGTTCGAATTAGGAAACCCGATTGTCATACATTTGAATTTAATGTCGGGGATGATGCTGAAATTGGCTGATGCTGAAATTTAGGGTCCCCATTTAAATCTATAATACCTACTAAAATTCACATACTTTTTTACTAACAACACTAATTCTAAACCCTAACCTAACCCTAAAAAAAACTCCCTAACGAAAAGGCCTGAAAATTTTTTAAAATTTCATAAAATAAATCAAAATTTCAGCATAATCCGATTTCAGCATCATCCCCGACATTTAATAAAGGCGTTAAGAGTTGACATGAATGTAATAATATTGATCGAACATTGTAACAAAAACAAAAATTTTTTTATATCTGGTCCGAGTTTAATTTAGACTCAGTCCCAAATCAGACATGCATATTCCAATTTTAATGTCATGCAATCAACTATGCATGCAAGAAAAGTTAAAGTGCGCATACGACATATAATATCAATTGCATGTGACTATTAGAACTCAGTCCCAAGTCTGACTTGGGACCGAGTCTAAATTAAAACTCGACTTCATAAGGACTTTTCACATCCCTAATCAAGAATTCGGCCGGGATAGGGATTGGATTGTACCCGGGAAGAGGTTTCCCCAACGGGTCCGGGATACCTAAAAAAATTTGCCGATAACAGTTCCAGAAATTATGTAAACCATCACTACTATATCTGCTAAAGAAAATGTGACGTTGGTTTTAAAGTTCAGTTGATCCTCATTACTGTCAACCCATTTGGATGCTTTATATTCATATATTAATGAGAGATAATGTTTAAAGTTGATATATATACATGAGGGAGTTTCAATATAAACTTAATATATAGAAATTTATTTTATATATTAATGAGCTATATATATATAAACAATAATATATTTTAAAAACCGATGCTTTGGCAGCACTCATATTTTATTGAACTATAAATTTCGCTCCGTACCTATCATACGTAATCGAGCATTACTGAAATCACAAACTTATCAAATTAGCCAAATAATCATCTAGTCTATAGCATTTTCTCCTTGTACAGTAAAGTACTCTCTTCCTCATATAGTATCACTCGAGTATTATCCAAGCCAGTCAGGTTTTTTAAATAAGGTAAAAAAAAAAAAAATTTATTACGTGTTACACCATTTTTTTTTTTTATGGTTACTTCTCCAAAATTTCATCGAGTTTTTCATTTACTTGGCTTAGTACTTAGTACTTAACATATAATATGCACTAACCTGAATTTTAATAAATATTTCAATGTATATAAATATTGACGTTAAAGTACACCAGATCAGTTACAAATTGTTGCGACGCATATAGCAAACAAATTGTGTTTTGGTAACACTATTTTATTACACTGAACGAATTAAAAACCAAACAAACCTTTCGCAAATCAAATTTGAAACCAAGTTCTTTTTCTTTCTAACATCACTTTTCGTTTTTATCGAAAATGAAAATATTTTAAATATTTGTCAATCTTTTCTAATTAATCTTTTCCAACAAATTCGAACCCATAATTAATATCATAACAAATCCGTTTTTTAACATAAAATGTATACAAAACAAAAAATTCGATCACAATCTGACCAAAATACTCCATTAAATTCAAATCATGGTCAATTATTTTTATCATTGTTCAATAAGCAGTCAACAAAATACACACATATTACTAGTAATAATAACTATTATTCAAGGCATTGGTATACGAATGGAACTTGGAATACGCTAAAAAGAAAATTTTCTAGTATACTTCATTTTGTATATTACATCGATAGTAAAAGATGGAGATATTTGCCAATACTTGGCATAATATTTGTAATATTCTTAATTATTAATGGAATTCCATCAAAGGAGAATGTACAACAGCAAACAGGACTGGTGTATTATGCTGGTAAGTTTTTCCAAGATTTCTTGTTAATGTAATCATCGATAAAAAGAGTAATGTATTATTAATTACAATTTAATTAATTATATTTAGATAAAAGAATTTATATGCCGGTCAAATATCTTGGAATTAATCCGAATATAACATCAGAATTACCCCAAGGAATCACGATTTATCATGTATCTAAAGAATTTGATTTTGCTACAGAAGGATACCCGGGTAAAATAGTCACTGGTCTTGTAAAAGCACAGGCTGCTAATACTTCATTGAACGTCAACATAATTATACCGTATTATTCCTTTTTAAAAAAAAAATATCAAGCCACAAAATATGTTCAACTAGGAATTAAAATTCGTGATGCCGATGGTCAATGGAAATATGCCCGTTTTTTAACTTCTAAATTCGAGTTAAAAACTTCTTCAAATGGGAATATTAATGTTTTTATGATCGGATCGACAAAAAATTTGCCACCATTCAATCAAGCATTCAAAATAAATGTCGCTGATAAATTGTATACACCAAAAAACAAATTTTCTTTAGAATGGAGGGATTTATATTTTTGTAAAGCTGCTGCTGAATTCATTACTTATAGGAATACCATGATTGATACTCCCCTTTTTTCCAAACGAGATAGTCGTGGTGTAGATGTTGTACATATACATGGTACAACAAATGCTATGGTCATCGAATTTTTAAAAAATACCCAGAAAAATTTTAAAGGAAAAGATCCATCAATAGTTTATACATTGCACAATTACTATGATGATCATCTTCATTCATATGATCTTAAAGACGTAGATAAGTTCATGGATGTAAAAAGTATGGATCAATTTGGGTATGAAAATTCACAGTACATTCGTGATAATAGGTTATTTGTTTCTTCGCTTGCTGTTGATAAATCACAGATGGTTACATTTATGTCAGAAGAGACAGCTCGTGAAATGGTAGAAGGTCCATTGGATTTCGATTTTAAAGAACTTGTATTACCAAATATTATTAACAAGGCAAGCATAGGACGTTGGATTGGTATATCATATGGATTTGATGTCACAGAACCCAATCCTTTTAAAAATCGAATTCTTGAAGAAAGCAATGCGATTTTTCCAGGAAATCTTTATACTTTAGACCCATCAGATATATATGATAATGCCGTAAATATTTCTTCAAAAGATTTGATAGTTGTGTCAAAACTCAATGCTAAGAAATATTTGATTCAAGAAGGATTACTGAGTGAAGAAGATCTTGAACGTCCATTGGTGTTATTCGAAGGAAAATTTGAAGTCACAGGATTTCAATTTTTTGTGGAAGCAGCAAGTACTCTAGCAACTTTAAATGCAAAATTTGTAATAATGGGTCAAAGAAATAATTATCCATCTTTAAAATTAAAAAAAATGATAGAAAACTATTCTGACCACTTGATTATTATTTATGAACCCGAAGCTCGTGAACAATGGGATGTTCATCTTTATGCGGCAGCTGATATTCAATATGTTCCGGACCTATCAGAAGATTTTGGATTAGTTGCTGCAGAAGGTTTGTTATTTGGTACACCGGTGGTTAGTTCTGATATCTATATTGGGGATTTAAGTGAAATTTTGATAAATAAGACAATTGAGACAACAAATTATTATAATTCTTATCTTTTTGAGTTAGATGAAGAATTTATTGATTCATCAGTCATAGGGTTGAAATCTGCACTAACTGATGCTGTTTATGATTGGAGAAAAATGTCAATGAATCTAGTAGAACGTGAATTATTTGTTAGAGGATTAATCAAGGATGCTTTAAAATTAGATTGGCGTAGAATTGGTGGCCCAATAGAACAATATAAAAAGGTTTATAAAATGGCAATTTTACAGATAACAGACACGTTAGAAATAGATGAATTATGGCATTAATTTACAATTATGATGTATTTTTAAATCCCTAAAATATCAATATATCAATATATTGATATATTCGATATATATCAATGTATATATATTGATATATAAATATACATATATACGTATATATAATTTATCAAATAAAATTAACATTAATCATAAAAATCATTTTAAATAAAAAATTTTGCAAGTTTTATGAATGCTAACAATATCAACTACCGAAAATTAATTTATGATAATTTCGGATGATTGTTGTATTGTTGACAAGAGCATTCATTATTATATCTTACGTCACGTTTGATAATCACGGTTTACTATAAAAATGATCAATAGTTGCAAGTGATAAGGTTTTACACTCTTACCATCTCTAAATGGCGCCACCTCTATCATTAGATATTTGGTGTCTTATTTTAAAAAATTTTAAAAATGATAGACTAACTTTACATTCTTGTGCTTTGGTAAATCGCGTTTTGGTAACTCACGCTGTGATGTTATTATGGTCGGACCCTTTTGACGAAAATTTAAGCACGCGACAAGTTATCGCTCTTGTCAATACTTTGGTGAGTTGTCTCCCAAATGTATCGAAACCGCATCTTATCCGTTACGGAATTATTTTGCCAACTACTCCCCAACCACATTTCAATTACCCGTCCTTTATTAAAGTACTCAAGTTGGACCAGTTGAGTCGAGGTATAGCACGTTGGATAACAAGATATGCGACTGTCGAAGTTAATGCACCGTTTCCTGGTGATCCATTGATAGTATTTTGTACTCATTTGTCAGCTGAAATTCTTCGAGTAATTTTCGTCAACTGCTTTCTAAATAAAATCGCGATCAAAGATTCTCCGTGGATCAGTGTTCTTCAAGATATAACACCGTGGGCTTATGTTCGATGTGTTCAACGGATCAGTGAACTTCATATCGCACGAGTGGATTATAATTCACGTATAACAAATATAATTGATCTACATAATCTTTCGTATCTTATAAAGATTTGGGCGTCACGCTGTCATGAAATAAGATCTTTATATATTCGTGTGGGTGAAGAGTCACAACTATTTCATGATTTTTTACCAAAATTAGTAAAAGCTCAGGATCAACTTATTAGAGTTCACTTTTCTACCGGAAATAATGCACTGCTAATCGATAAACTCTTGACCGCCCTTCAAGATAATACTTCTTTGGAAGAGATGGAAATATTTCACACGAACCTCACCAACACCTTCTTTAGTACTTTATCCACTTGCAAAATGTTAAAAAAACTTATGCTTATTGGTTGTAAACAACACGATCAACCGTTTAATAAGAAACTGAATTCCCTACCAATTATACAAATTTTTTGCAAAAACAACGTTATTCATCCTGAAAATCTACATTTAGTTTTTTCCGCCGCGAGCTCTACGTTGACTACTTTAATATTGGACACTGCACCATTAGATATATTATCAACATTATCTCCACGTTGTCGTCAACTTCGTCATCTTGTTTTAGGAATCAATTCAGAACCTTATGATTCACTTGAATTATTGCAAGATCTCCAAAATTTAGAATATTTAGCATTTTGTCATGTATCAAAGAGATTTGTTTCATCTTATCACGAAGACTTTTATGCACGATTAGGGCCATCGCTTCCGATATTCTTGCAACATTTACATACCGAATACGTGGCCACCCCGGATGACGTCAGGATATTTCTCAATGGATGTATTGCTCCAATTGCGATACTTGGATTAAATCAACCATGTGGAATTAGTAGATTTCATCTAGTAGCTGCATGTGAATTTGTTCGAAGAAAAAAATTTCCATTAAAAAAATTACAATACGACGGAAGTAACAAAGATTACATTGTAAAAAGTTCTAATTTGCCATCAGCATTGCTGGATTTTCTTAAAGAATTTTTGAAATTTGAGGTTGAGGCATTACATCACCCTTTCGATGCTGATCGTTGGCCTTATCCAAGGTAAACGTATATAATCTCATTATTTAAATTGAACCTTGTCATTTTCCTGATGAATTTTTCCTTATGAAAATTTGTTTCACTATTAGATCTAATGATGATGACTGAAAAATCGGTTTTTTCTTTTTTTTGACATTTATTAGGGTTTTATTTCTTTATCATCTTGTTCTCCATCTCTTATTTTTACAATCACATTTTATGATATCTAATTTACTTCGAATTCCTTCAACACCCAAAAGCATATTAATTTTGCATTAATTAGTTCAATCGTTTAATCTTGGAAATCGAGTTTTGTTCGTTACAAATAAGTATAATCAATTAAAAAAGTTATCATCATGAATATTTTACATTTGTACGAAGCATTGCTACTTGAATATTACAAAAAGCAAACCGGAATAAAAAATAAATTTCAACAATTTGCTTATTTTCTTGAATTGATGGATAGTTAATATTATTTTCGTTGTTTTCAAAAAAGATACGTTTCAAAAGAGTTTAAAATTTACTAATAAGTATATAATTATACCATTGAGTTAGAGAACGATAGAGAAAAAGATAAAAAGAAATTTGATAATTCTCGTTTATCCCATGGGCATTATGTATACACCGGTGAAAAAATCCCATGAATATGAGTTTATGCATAGTTAAATGGAACACAGGAACAACGTGTGAAAAGTGAGAATACAATTATTTAAAGGCAAAATCTTTTTTTTGGTTATTCTTTTAATCACAGGATTATATGTAGTGCTACGCAATATAATTAAAAATTCGAATTTTTTTTAACAAAGCTGCGAATCAATCCCACAATCGAAATTTAAAAGATGAATAATCAGCTTTATTGGATTTCATGTCAACTTATGTAAGTATTACTTTACTGTTAGATTCCGCGATCATGTGTATACGCGAATCAGGGCCGATGATTTTCTACATTTCACAGGATGCCACAGAAATCACCTAAACACGGAATGCGTCAAGGATAGCACGGAATTGTCGCAGAAGTAGGGTTTATAATTTTTTTATAAGTACGCATGATGCTAAAAAGCTAAAAATATAGCTTCCGAAAATTTCAGTGTAGGAAATAAATGAACCTAAAATACGAGCGTGGCCGAGTTAAAAATTTTGCTTGATATCCGAAATCATCCAAAGAATAAACAATCAACTTATTGCAGAACATTCGAAGTTTCTATTACAACCAACATAGAATTCATGAATAACAGTTCATAAATGCACGGAATTTTTGCAGAATTTGATTTTGTCACGGACGGAATCGGCAATTTATCACCGCAGAAAATTATCGGCCCTGACGCGAATTTCGTTGTTTACGTGTTCATCTTTTCACATGATCACATTTCCATTTTTGAACACCTAACGCAGATTTTCTGCGGTGATAAATTGCCAATTCCGTCCGTGAAAAAATCAAATTCTGCAAAAATTCCGTGCATTAAAATTTATGAACTCTGCGTTCTTCGGATAATCAAGCTCGTATTTTAGGCTCATTTATTTTCTACACTGGAAATTTTCAGAAGCTATATTTTTAGCTTTTTAAAATAATGCGTGTTTAGGACCTGATTCCGTGATTTCTGCGGCATTCTGTGAAATGCAGAAAATAATCGGCCCTGCGCCAAAGATTAAAAAAATTGTATGTACAGTGCGTACGTATAACGATAATATGGGCTGCCGTCAATAGAATCAAGCAGATTGACATTTTAAAAAAAATCTATACCTCGACTTTCACAGCTCATATCTCGATGAGTTTGGAAGCTAACTTTATGATTTAATGTTCAAAAGAAAGTTTAAGTTCTAAGCTTTCTTTTGAATATTAAATCATCAAAATCGCATCAAAATTCATCGATATACGAGCTGTAAAAGTTGAGGTATAGATTTTTTTTTAAAATGTCGACCTTCCTGATTTCTATTGACGGTAGCCCATATGTATATATTAATAGATATTATTATAACGGCCCAAAGAAAGCAATTGTTTTATTCGCAATATATTGAACTTAGAGGGTAATTCCTACGAGCGATCACTTTAAAAATTCAGAATATATAACGCTCTGTAGTCTGTAGGAATTCGTTTTCAAACTAGAAGTCAACAGTGCTAATCGTCACTTACACTTCTTCGCAATAAATTACTATTTTTATTGCGTTCTAACAAGAGAATGATCAGTATTATGTTAGTGTATGGGTTTCAAGAAGTAATAGACAAACGGTTATCATTAAGATCCAGGTTTTTTAACGTGACAGAAACAATTGCGGCTATCGGAATACGATGCTTGTCCTCCACGAAAGTCGACGTTGCGTAATGTTACCAATATTTATAGATTTACGATCTGGCACGAGTATGGAAGTGCAGAATCACAGAGACACGAAACTTTTTATTTAGGGGCTCTGGACACAAACTTCTTTTTATATTTATTAAATTACGCACTGGCTAACACCTTTTATACTAGTAAAACGGCACCGTTTCGCAGGGCTGGAGCCTTATTTATTACACGCTTAAACTTGGAAATAGAATTTATATTATAATATATATGAATAATAAGATGCGTGTTAATTTTAAGTCTATATATATTTTATAAGTTTACTTTAATGTAGTATACATATATACAATCAAATTTATAAAGCAACCTTTGCTCTTCGGCTAATCTCTGCTGCCTTCTGCAATCTATT